ATCCGGGAGGGCAGTGATAAGATGAGATAAGCGATGACATTTAATGGGCACTAGCGAGGGTGCAGAGATAAGGGGTAACATTTGATGAGCTCGTATCTCTGATTATCTCTCTGTCTGCTTGTCTCTTTGTCTCTCTGCTTGTCTCTCTGTCTCAGAGAGAGCCACTGTGAATCAACTGGTATTCTTATGCATTATATCTACAAGCACAGTAGAGCACTTCAGATTTTTTAGGTTATCCTAGGTAATTTACACTATGCATAACTGTACACCTACCATCCAACTTACAACCTGCTCGACATACGTCCACTCGAGTTATGACCGTGCATCTGGGCTGGGCCGGCTGAAGCACACCGCTGTACAATATTTGACAATACTCGCGGCGGCAATGCATCATGCAGGCAGCATCAGTTTGAGTAACCCTGCCCTATCAGCAGCATCATACTGTATTAACTGTACTAACTGGACAGTAAATTTCACCATGGCCCCTAAGATGAAGTCTGAATCTTGTACTGGAGATTGTGGCAAGAAAGGCTCTTACTCTCCAACTCTCTATTTGTTTTCAGTGTTGCACATAAACCTGTCTGTATCTGTCTGCCTGTATATCTGTGTCTGTCTGTATCTCTGTGTGTCTGTTTGTCTACCTGTGTGTCTGTCTTTCTATCTACCTGTGTGTCTGTCTTTCTGTCTACCTGTGTGTCTGTCTTTCTATCTGTGTGTCTGTCTTTCTGTCTGCTTGTCTGTCTCAGAGCCACTCATTAAGAGTGTAATTGGTCTTGAAGATGCCATATTAATAATGATAATAACAATAATAATCACTGAGGTGCATTAAATGTGTATAAAATGTTAATATAGACATTTTGCTTAATCCATCTATGATTTTTTTTTTCAAAATTACATAATAAACATGCTACATAGCATATAAATTAACAAATATGAGATGTTTTTCTGGTCGGCTTGACAGAGTGAACAGAAACCATTCGTGTCCGGGCTGGTAACAACAACAACAACGTTTGTTTACATAACTCGTGAAACTTCTCCCTCTCTCTCTCTCTCTCTCTCTCATTTATTCATTTATTCACTCTACATTAAGACTACAGTTATTTTAAGGTAAGTAATGAGTGGACACAATTATTATATTATAGTTTAATAATAATATTATTATTAATATTAGTACATATGTATTATTGTAATAATAATAATAATTATTATTATTAATTTAAGGCACTGGAGCACAGATCCACTGTATAGCACTTTGTCTGGATTTTTTGGGTTATCCTAGGTAATTTATGCTATGTATGATAACTTCACTTACGTGTACTTGTGTGTGTGTGTGTGTGTGTGTGTGTGTGTGTGTGTGTGTGTGTGTGTGTGTGTGTGTGGTGTGTGTGTGTGTGTGTGTGTGTGTGTGTGTGTGAGTGTGGAGAGAGAGAGAGAGAGAGAGAGAGAGAGATACAGAGAGAGAGATACAGAGAGAGAGATACAGAGAGAGAGATACAGAGAGAGAGATACAGAGAGAGAGATACAGAGAGAGAGATACAGAGAGAGAGATACAGAGAGAGAAGATACAGAGAGAGAGATACAGAGAGAGAGATACAGAGAGAGAGATACAGAGAGAGAGAGATACAGAGAGAGAGATACAGAGAGAGAGATACAGAGAGAGAGATACAGAGAGAGAGATACAGAGAGAGAGATACAGAGAGATACAGAGAGAGAGACAGCCACATTCAGTCAGCCAGTCAGTCAGCCAACCAACCAACCACCTGGCCACCCACCCGGCCACCCACCCGGCTACCCACCCGGCCACCCACTCGGATAAGTATTACACAGAGTTGTTTCTCTTTACTTAGGGTATAGGTTATACTACATTCTGGCAGGATGACACTACCAGTGGTATTCTCCCATTCCACTGTGTTGACAATACTTAAAGATAACAGTAACATATGATACTGTATGCGATGTAAAATTTACAATACAGTTCACTACCATGTATACATTATATACAGTATACATAAATAATTAAAATATAACAATGCTGTAGAAGTAAATTATGGTAAAAAGAATGAAATAATGATTGTACATTACATTACAGTACTATGTAGGTAGTTTATATAGAAAAGGTTTGACATTATGCACTACCCAGTATGTCGGCAATTTTCAAAGGTTCGACTTACGTCCATTTTGACTTACGACCAGTTGGCTGGAACCGAGCTTGGTCGTAAGCCGGATGGTAGGTGTATTTGTGTACCTGTGAGACAGATAAAAAGAGATAGAGACAGACAGATAAACAGAGACAGACAGAGATAAACAGACAGAAATAGAGACAGATAGGGAGACCCTAAACTTGGGGTTAACATCACTTTCCTCTTAAAAGGGAAGTGTTAATATGACATTACATCAGTGAAACCTTGGTGTTTGCCGCACTGTTTGCTCTAGCTGGCGCTCAATATAACTGGTGCTCCCACAAGGTACTAAGTGGTCCTAGATTTTTTTAATATGGTGCACACCGAGTGTTAAGACCCATTCTTTGCTGACCAGGCACCTCAGGCCAATCATGCCAAATTTGGAGGCAGGAAAAATGAAACGTGTATATATGTCTGGGGCGCTAGCGGTAAGAATGTATATATATGTTTGGACCGTTTACGGGTTAGGACTACAAATGTAACAGAAATGATAGTATTTCTTACCTTAAATTGTGGGTGCTGGTGTTTGTGGATGATTGTGAAGATAGTGGAGAGTTATGCTGTGGCCCTACTGGGCTGAGGTGGATGGTAGAGGTTCTGGTACTGAAGTCAATGGTTGTAATGGAGTGTCTAACTTCAAGTCATTTAGTCAGTCAGTCAAGGCATTCAGTAAGTCAAGTCACTCAGTAAGTCAAGTCATTCAGCAAGTCAGTCTAATCACTCAGTAAATCAGTCAAGTCGTTCAGTCAGTCAAGTCACTAAGTCAATCAAGTCATTCAATAAGTCAGTCAAGTCACTCGGTAAACCAGTCAAGTCACTCAATAAGTCAGTCAAGTCACTCAGTCATTCAGTCAAGTCACTCAGTAAGTCAGTCAAGTCACTCAGTAAGTCAAGTCACTCAATAAGTCAATCAAGTCATTTAGTAAGTCAGTCAAATCACTCAGTAAGTCAATCAAGTCATTCAGTAAGTCAGTTAAGTCATTCAGTAAGTCAGTCAAGCCACTCAGTAAGTCAGCCAAGTCACTTAAGTAAGCCAGTCTAGTCACTCAGTAAGTCAATCAAGCCATTCAGTAAGTCAGTCAAGTCAGTAAGTTAATCAAGTCACTCAGTAAGTCAGTCAAGTCATTCAATAAGTCAGTCAAGTCAGTCAGTAAATCAGTCGAGTCAGTCAGTCACACAAACTAATGTTTACCTCTTTTTCTGTGAACAAAGTAATACTTCATTATGGCTACAGGTTATCTCTTGTCTAATATCTTTGTTTCTCTGTTAATTCTAAGACTTAAGTGTTTATACCTCTTCATGGCACTTTCAGCAACACTGGTATGGCTACTGGGTGTCATGATTGCTTGGCAGATACAAGATATAGTAATTAAAATACCATAACACAATTCACAAATACAGCTGCCTTGTAGCATAGAAAGATTGGACACGTGTCGGGGAGTGGCAGGGAATGGCAGGAGGGCTCCCCGGCTGCTCCACAACAAGGCTGCCACTGGAGCAAAAGATAATTATTTTTTTCCTTTCCACAAACTGAACCGTGTTAATCATACAACGTGTTATATAAAATTGTGCAGCAATTCTTCAATCATGCAATACCCAAATTGTGCCAAATAAACTCGTGCTAAATGGTGGTCGACTATATTTTTTATTTGGAATTCTTTAAATTTTGTTAAGTTGCCCTAATTACCGAATTATGTCCACCTTCAAGGACCATAACATTGTATCAATCGCATCTGCTAGAAAAATGACAGGATGGATAATAAGAACCTTCAAAACCAGGGTTGCCAAGCCCATAATGACACTCTTCAGGTCACTTGTTCAATCTAGGCTGGAATATTGCTGCACACTAACAGCACCTTTCAAGGCAGGTGAAATTGCTAAACTAGAAAATGTACAGAGAACCTTCACGGCACTCATAACTGCGATAGAACACCTCAATTACTGGGAACGCTTGAAGTTCCTCAACCTGTACTCCCTAGAGTGCAGGCAGGAGAGATACATGATTATGTACACTTGGAAAATCCTAGAGGGATTTTCCAAGTGTATTTTACCAAACTTGCACATGAAAATCACTCCCTACGAAAGCAAAAGACTCGGGAGACGAAGAAAAGCCAGGGTGCCACTAGGATGACAAGAGGCAATGCAATAAGTGTCACAGGCCCAAGACTGTTCAACTGCCTCCCAGCATACATAAGGGGGATTACCAATAGACTCCTGGCTGTCTTCAAGCAGGCACTGGACAGGCACCTAAAGTCAGTACCTGACCAGCCGGGCTGTGCGGAACTCTCTCCAGGTATAGGATAGTTCTGACAGTTGAATGGGCAGTTTCTTGTGCTCATTCAACTTAACGGACGGCATACTAGTGAAATAGCTAAGAATGTGGCTAATGGAGCAGTAGAACTCAAAGTGGGCCCAGACTGCTAACTTTGCACCTGCATATCTCTAAGTTTTTTATCATATTCTGTACTTTTGGTGTCATTACCTTCAGGAAAAGATTCCATACTATTTCAGAGTCTGGACAGTGAAAGGATTAAATATTTAAAAAAAAAAAATTTATGAAATATTTTTTTAAAATAGAATTTTCCAAAGAGAAAATTCTGAGTTTATGTTTGGAAATTTTTTCAGTCATAATTTAAAAAATATAGTAAATTTAATATTTACCATTCAGAATGTTTTATAATCTGGACAATCCTAAGCCTCATATGTATTAATCTGAATAAGAGAGAAATCACATTATCTAAATGGTTTAGAATTTGACCAGCAAATTTTTGATGCAATAAGATTAAGGGAGGAAAAAAAAATTTGTGGTGATATACTTACTTTAAGATCCGTGTTGAGCACCATAATCTTTTCCGTTGAGATAAAGAGGTCCACTTCCGTGCTAGGTTGTGATTCACCATCTGGGGCCTGTAAAGAGTGCCCAAGTTAACTTGCATCATAATTAGATCAAAATATGAGAACTCATTATAACAACTGTTTCTCATAAGATCGTAACAGCTATCTGAGCTTACATACAATTTTTCATATCCATGGACAAAATACACTTAAAGGAAAAATTATAGATCGAGTGCATAAACCTCTAAGAAGTTACAAAACTTAATCCTACTGACATCACTTACTTTTAAACCTACTGAAGTTGTTGTTTAGTAGCACCACGTGCAAATGAGTATCTAAATAAATGATGATGTGAGAAGTGGGTTATAGTAAGTGTTTATACACCTGAGGCCAAGGAGAAGAGATATTTAAGCAGGTGATAAGAAAATGTTTAAGGAGTATTGCACCAATTGAGTAAATATTGTGGGGGACCTAAATGTTAAGTGGGAGAGACTGTTTTAGATGGCATAGTAAGTTTGAAGAACCAGGAGGTAAATGATAATGGGGGCCCTTCTAACTGAACTACGCATAAAAAGAGGTGCTGATACTGGTGGTCCTGGTAGATTTGGAGCTAATACTGGTGATACTGGTAAAGTTTCTGAGCCTGAGCCAGTCATAAGTACTGGTGATGCTGGTGCTGGAGGCCCTAGTGGTTATAGGGATTGTTTAGATATTCATACCTGTGAAGCTGGTGGTAGTACTAGTGTTGGTACTATCATTGCTGCCTCTGACTCTGGTACCAGTACTGTTGTTAGTGTTAACTCTGGCTCTGGTACCAGTACTGTTGTTAGTGTTAACTCTGGCTCTGGTACCAGTACTGTTGTTAATGTTAACTCTGACTCTGGTACCAGTACTGTTGTTAGTGTTAACTCTGGCTCTGGTACCAACCCAGAAATTACACAAGTTGAGAACTCAGTCCTGAAATCACATTCAACAGAAACCTGAAACATGCAAATTCCACTCTTGGGTCATCTGCAAATGCAGTCCTACCTGAACCACCAAAAACTGAACCTGCATGTATATGCACAAATCCCCCAAAATACTGAAGACTCTTGAATAAAGACACATACTGCTCCAGGTCCTGCAAGCTCTTTCACCCAAGAATGTGCTGTAGTTTAGAAAACCAAGGACACTGCTACAATTTAAACTGTCCAGACTACCACAAGAAAGATGTGAGGCATATAAAGCCTCATGAACACCAGTATGACCATGCAAACTATAATCATACAACCAACAGGCATTTTTTAGTATCAGGAAATGCAATAAAATGGATAATAAATGGTAAGAATGCATCACCACTTAGGAGCCATGCTGGACTGGAATCAAAGCCAGTGGCAGGCTCACCAGAGCCACAGACACAAGTTCAACCAACAAGCACCCAGCCCAGCAACTAGCAATGTACAGGTTAGCCATCACTAATCCAGCAATCGATTATCAGGTTCCATCAGTAATCCGGCACTAATTTTGGCTAGCATAATTTCAAATTTCATCATTATGCTGACTCAAATTTCATCATTATTTTGACTTAGAAATTATGCAGATGGTTGTTAATCCACAACAGCAAGCCAGTGGAGGAGAAAGCAGCGATGAAAATAAGAAGATGTAGCGGAAAGTCTCTCTATTGATAGGTTAATTAAGTGTATTCTAGCCTAACCACTCTGTAATCTGGCAAACTCACTAATCCGGCACACTACAGGTCCCAATGATGCCGGATTAGTGATGGCTGACCTGTATCATCCTTTGTGTTTGCAAATGTACAATGTTTCAAACTAAGGAAGAGCAATAAAATACAGCCTCTCCCCACTTAACGATGGAGTTCCCTTCCTAAGACCACGTCATTAAACAAATTCGTTGCTAAGTGACGCTCATACTATAATGGTAGTGAGTTTGTGTCAACCATCTTTGATATTGTTTTAATGCCACTTCTGCACCATTTATAACATTTTTGGTATATTTTTAAAAGTTTATACAGCAGTGTACTGTATACTGAAATAAACAGAATAGAGGAAATCAGCTCTAATATACATTATTTAGGTATGAATACTGGTCAGAGAGCCCGTTGTAGGTCCGAGATGTCAGTAAATGAGTACTTCGCTAAGTGAGGAGAGGCTGTACCATATATCAGCAGCTTTCTCATAGAGTCACATGAAATATGAATTACAGGGTACAACCTATTTAGATATGACCAGAAAACCAAGCAACAAGGGAGGATGGGTCAGCCTGTATGTCAGAGTTGCTCATATGCACTCACTGATCTACTGACCATCACTAATGATATAGTCAAAGTTCTGACAGTCAAAATAAAAACCAGAACCTAGTTGTTGCATTTGTATACAAGCTACCAGATATAACCTCCCAGTACTTCAAGGTCCAGTTATTAGAGATTGAGCATTGTCTTCATAACCTTTCAAACCCATCCCCAAATATCTTGCTGTTGGAAACTTCAATTTGAGATACTAGTAAGAACTATAATTGAAAAGTCTCTTTCCTGAGCTAGCTTAGAGGAACAGTCCCACACAAAAGAATTATTAAACCTCTGCAATAAATTCACTGTAAGCCAGCCGATTACTGAACCAACCAAACTGGGAAACTCTCTAGACCTTAGAGACAGGGAGCAAAAAAGAAGTAATGATATTAGAAGAAATCCCAAATATTTCTTCTATACAAAAATTCAATATAGGGTCATTACTTAAATAGGAAGGAACAAACACTGATGACAATAGGGAAATGAGGGAAAATACTGGGGTTACAGTATGACTATTCAGTGAATCGCTCACAATTTACAGATTGATGATCCAAATGAGTTTTTCGTGTATGAGACTCAAAACCCTGCCAACATCTCTACATTTCTAATGTAACAATCTCCCAAGTTGACTTTGAAGAAGTCACACATTCTGCTCTAGCCAAGACTCGTGGAATTCCATACTTATTAAATACAGTACTACTGTAAGAAACCACTATCTTGGGTCTTTAGTATTTTGTGGAAAAGGAGCCTTGGACACAGGTGTCATCCCAGTCATTTAAAACTATTGTTACTGCCCCACTTCATAAAGGTGGCAGTAAAGCAACTGCAAAGAACTACAGATCAACAGCCCTAACTTCACACATTATCAAAATTTTTAAATGGGTCCTAAGAAGCAAGACTGCCAATCACATGGAATCCCAACAGTTACACAATCCAGGGCATTGTGAAAGGCAAATGGCTCCTGCCTTTCATAACTGTTATTTCATTATGACATAGTCCTAGATGCTATGAAAGATAAGGTAAATGGTGATGTAGAGAACACTGGCTTTGCAAAAGCATTCAACAAGTGCAACCATGGTGTGATTGTGCACAAAATTCGTACAAAAAGAATAACTGGAAGAGTGGGCAGATGGACAGAACCCAAAAAGTAGTAGTATACAGAGTGAAGTCAGAGGATGGTACAGTGAAAAGCTGTTCCTGTTTCTGTTCTGTTTCTCATTTTTATATCCAAAACTGCCATGGGCATAAATCATAGCACCATAACATCCTTTGCTGATGACACTAGAATCTCTATACAATGTAGACAAAGCAAATCTTCAGGTGAATATAAATAAAGTCTTCCAGTGTGCCTCAGACAACATGATGTTTAACAAGGATAAGTTTAAACTGCTCTGTTATGGAAGAATTACAGAAAGTAATGGAGTGCAGAACAAACTCAAATCATTCAATAAAGCAAAAGTCCCATATGTGAGACTTAGGAATAATGATGTCAGAAGACCTCACATACAAGGATCACAATAATGTTGCCATTGCTACCACAAGGAAAAATAATAGGCTAGATAACTAGAACTTTCAGGACAAGAATACTACTGTATACTGATGGCCCCCTTCAAGGCAGGCAAGATTACTGAGCTAGAAAAAATACAGAGAACCTTCACTTCTCATACACACTCAGTCAAGTATCTGAACTACTGGGAACACTTGAAGTCCCTTCAACTGTATTCCTTGGAATGTAGGCAAAAAAGGAACAATTTACACCAGGAAAATCCTGGAGGGACTGATTCTGAATCTGAACACTGAAATTACTCTGTGTGACAACCAGAGGCTTGGCAGATCATGCAAAATACCTGCACTTAGAAGCAGGGGTGCAACGAGTACACTAAGAGAGAACTTGATAAGTATCGGAAGCCCCTGACTCTTCAATGCCCCCCTTCCTGCATAAGTGAAATTGCCAACAACCTCTGGCAATCTTCAAGAGGAAACTGGACAAGTTTCTCAAGTCACTGCCTGACCAGCCAAGCTATGGTTCATACATAGTGCAATGTATGAGGTGGAAGGAATATTTGGAGGACCTGGTAAATGTTGAGAGATGATCATTTCCTAACAGTGACACTCTCACTCTCACACTCACTCACACATGCACATATACTTAAGAGTATTTTCTGCTGTAATAGTAAACAGTAATATGATATAATATGATAAACTGTTTAGTGAGAAATAATGTGAACAGAGTGTATCTAAGAAGTTGGGTTTGCTTATAAAATATGTAAGTATACAGTGGCTAAAAAAAAAATATAAAAACAAATATTGTACCTTTTATAAAATATCATCTAAATACAGTATATAAGAAAGTATCTTCTACAGAAAGTACTCAAAGAACCAACTAAAACAAATGTATAATTAAATACTGAAAAAATATGCAACTTTATTTTGCATGCATCACTAAGAATAAAATACTGTATCTGCTAATAACATCAAGTTTTTCAAGAAGCTAAAAAAATGCATATATGTAGGCTGCAGTATCCTCTTTGAACTACATATAAATTTTTAATGAACCCTTGAAAAACTACAAATACAAATGTGATGAATGTATGATCAATGTGACTGACAAGAGGGACTCAAGGGTGAGATATGAAAGTTTAAATAATAATGCATGGAAGAAAATATCAACATTTATGATTAATATTACTGTAGTGCATCTTTTAGTGGTAGATACAGTGAAAAAGTTTATATCAGCTAAGACAAAAAGAGAAACAGATGTTATAATCAAAACAATCTCTTGTGGAAA